TTGCCCGGGAAGAGTGCAATGATGGTGCCACCTTGGGCCAGTGAAGCAACGTCCTCCACAACTAGACTGAAGAACAAAAGGACAGCAACTTGTCTGTTCCCCTCCCCCCAACTTCCCCCCTCCCCCCAAAAAAGAAAGAAACTAACGGAGTTGAGTTCAATGGCAGCATCTAAAGTCCTGAGGTCAGACCAGTTCCTTTAGAGCCTTGCCTTGTAGACTATTAGAGTCACAGTTGTGTTAGAGAGATTTCAGGTTATATTTTGAGGGTAAAAATCATGCATAGAAAAAAGCTGCTCTTGTGAGTCCAGCTTGTTATAAAATTGTTGCCTTACAACTTAAAAAAATATTCTTACTGTATGTCATCTATGCTACTTTTTGGTGTTTTTAGTGTAGCTGTTTGAGCAAGGCATAGTTATATAGGCTATTTACTGGTGGTTTTTTCTTCTGTGCTTCCTGCCAGTAACTGTAGGAAACATTTTAGAAATAATTTAATTATAAAATATTGGTACCTCTATCTCAGTAATTCCTATAACTTATTCCTAAATGTACCTTAAGGTAACTTGGGATTTTGCCCTAAAGCTTGATTTTTTTTTTTTTAACCTCCCTTTATGTTGAGTATAAATTCTTCTTTTTGGTCTTTTTAGATTGTGAATCGGCACGGTCCTGAGGCAGACAGGCATTTATTACGCTGCCTATTTTCGCATGTGGATTTCAGTGGCGATGGTAAAAGCAGTGGCAAAGATTTTCATCAGGTATTTGGGGCTTACCAAGTTTATGTCTACTTTGATCTAATGAATTGCATTTGGGCATAGTGTATGTAGCAAACAATACATACAAATAGAATCCAGAAACAATCTTAACTAAATGGCTAAAAGATATATTGGGACTTGCCCACCTTTTTGACCTTGCATTCTCTCACCTGGCTGCAGACCATTACAGCTACCCAGTTCAGGGTTAGAGAACTGGAGTGAGACCTGCCTGAAGGAAGCAGGAATGTGGGGGTGTTCTGCCTGATAAGTAAGTGAGGCAGAGGGGAGATCTCTTAGATTGAGTTTCTTTGGCTTGATTCTCAATCTGATAAGAGTTTGTCATGATATTATTCCTTATAGCTATCTTGTCAATGACTATTCTGTAAAGGTTTTGGTTTGATTTTAACACTTGTTGCTAATAGACTTTAAGTAGTTTAAATGGAATTTTTAAAGAGCTGCTTTTGATAATATATAAACAGTATATAATATTGGATTACACTTTAATGTTCTGAGCACCTCTGCTATTTGTGCAAGATGATGACTGTTAATACTAAT